AAAGCATCTTACATGTCTGTGAGTTGGACTGTGAGTAAAGACATACATTACTCATGGCACATGACATTAAGCCATAAATTATGGTTTATAAGCCACAATTGCTAGGATTACACAATACAGCAAGCCACAAACAGAGTGCATGTAGGCTTAGCACAGCCATAATATAAGCACAACATCCATGTCCTATGGTTTTTTGATGCAGTCCTGGCTTCTGGATGCAACTGTAATGATCCTCTAGGTTTTATTTCTAAATTTACAAAGTTAATGCAGTATCAGACCATGAGACTCTTAATATAGATGGAGTAAATTACATGAATCCACTTCCTTTTGAAGGGGAATTGGTTTTAAGGCCCAGGGATTAAAAAGCTATAGTATAGGCTACAGCTTTGGTCCAGAGGTCATTTAAAAGATTTTAGCCTGGAATAAAGCAACCCTAAAATTCACCAGAGCTACTTTTTAGCAGAGACTTTAAGTACCTTGTACTTTTTTTGACTGGGACGCAATGAGCTGATTGGTCTTTGAATTCAGGCCTCAGGTAAAAGTGCTTAAGAAAGAAAGGTTTGTTAACTGGATACAATGTGACGACCTTCCAGCAAAAGGATATTCTGGATCACTTATACTGTAACTACAAAGGAGTGGTTTCATCCATGCTTCTACACTAATTAGACAGAATTATACAATTAGTATAGAAGCATAGTTTATGGGTCCATAATCATCCACAGCTTGCACTCCATGGTCTATACAGATTCCTCTATTGTGCTAACTCAAATTATGTGTACTTAGAGCCCCCTTCAGGCAGGAATTAGCATTGTACAATATAAATTCCTTTGATTGGCAGGCAATATGAAGACTCTGGATTGGTCAGTCCTCCTATAAATTCTTCTCTGGGGTGGGTTTGCACCAGATTGCAAGGGTGTGATGTACAGAATGGTTGTGCATGGACATTTCATTAGTCAGGCTTTTTAGCATAGGGGTCGGGAGATGTGGGTTGGGAGTCTGTCCCTCTGCCACTGTTGTAGCCTTATCTGTATGTCTTACTCTACTTGCTAATATCAAACAGGGAATATACCTTTTGGAACCAAATTCAGGTACTTTCCCTTCTTCTCAGCCCATCAATATGAAATGTGCTTTTTAGACTTCAGTGGTGCACTATTGTCTCCCGTGGAACAGCAAGGGATTTAGCACTTCTACATTCAGTTCTTCATCTGAAACTTGAAAACTTGGTTATGATGTCAGCACTAGCTAGAAAAAGGAGGATTCCTTTAAATACCCTACTCACCAAGGACACCACTGATCCTCTTCTGAAAAAGGCCTGGGAGAGAGTATCCCCCCCCCCCCTCCCCCC